GCTCCCCGCCATGGCTGGGGTCACACGCCTGCTGGGTCTCCGCAGGTTCCTCGCCTCCAAGGAGCAGTTCCATGCCTACCTGCGGGCCGGGGGCGAGCCCGGCGGCCAGGCGGGCACCGAGGAGGAGGAGGATGAGGCTGAAGAGAAGAAGGAGGAGGAGGAGGCTGGCAGCTGCCAGGGCGAGCCCCCCGCCAAACGGGTGAGGTCGGAGGACCTTGGTCAGGACGGGGAAAGCCGAGAGGATGCTGGAGCAGCGGAGAAGGAGCCCACGGAGCGGAAGCGGGCCCGGGGGCAGAACAAGAGCAGGCCCTGTATGAAACCCAACTGCTACGAGCAGAGCCGGCTGTGCCTGTCGGTAATGCAGGTGGGGGAACGTGGGCCCCCCCCGGGCCCTTCCCGCTCAAGGGCTGCTTCTGTTTTAAAGTCCAGGAAAGCACATTGAAGACCGAGCCGCGGCAGGGAGGGCGTAGCAGGGGGCTGTGCTGGCAAAACCACCTCCGTTGGCTGGCTGGGAGAGGGTGAAGTGAGCCGAGTGGGGCAGGTGAAGCCGAGCAGGGCAGGTGAAACGTCAGGGTCCCTGAAGCGGTAGTGCTAAAATGTCCCCTCAAGTGGGTACGTCGCTGCCCTTCTGCAGCACGTTCCAGCAGTCAGCTTCCTGGGAGCGTTTCATGGGGCACCTGGCGTCCCCTGGGGAGCAATGGGTGCTCAGAGCAGTTCTGGCCCCTCTCTGGACTGGGAAAGACCCAGGCTCACCTCACTTGTGCTGGAAGGTACCAGCATGTCCGGGCAGGCAAGCGGAAGGCGGGGGTTTTAACCTTCTCTTTATTGTTTTAAGGGGTGTGCAGAGAAGTGCTACTTTGGCCCACGGTGCCGCTTCCTTCACGACATCGGCGAGTACATGGCCGCGAAGCCGGCCGACCTGGGGCGCAGCTGCGTGCTCTTCGAAACCTTCGGCAAGTGCATTTACGGCGTCACCTGTCGCTTTGCCCAGGCCCACCTTGGGGACGGCTACCAGAACATCGTCAATGGGGACCTGGCCAAGCAGTGGGAAGGGAAGTCGCTGGTGAGGAATAACCTCTCCAAGGACCTCCAGCACCAGCTGCGCAAGAAGAAGTTTAGCTTCAAGAAGGCTGACGCGTACCTCCGTGGTCTGGCCAAGCCCCATGGCAATGGTGGGAAGGGAGGCAAAGCCATGGGTCTCCCTACGGAGGAGCAAGAGGTGTCCAACTGCACAACACCCCAGGAGGGTCTGGGAGATGGCCCCAAATGTGCTGTGCTGTCGGAGCAGGGAGAAGATCCCAAACCAGATGCCTTGCAGAGTCCTGGCCCCACAGGTAGCAAGGAGGCTTCCTCCATCAAAACAGTGGGCCCGGTGACAGATGAAGATATTATAAAGCTGCGGTCATGTGAGAAGAGGAAGGTGAGAGTTTGGTCGAGGGCTGCCGTCTCTCGTGTACCTGTCAAGGGGTTAAGGTATGTGCTTGGGAAGACGGAAGAGACCTTTCAGCTGGGTGAGAGGCAGGCAGAGGACAGAGCTGCCTGGGGACCACGGTACTGCCATGAGAGGGGAAGGATGCAGGAAGGTGAGCTCTTGGGGCCGTGGCGTTGTCCTGGGAGGGGTGAGAACCAAGAGAAGCTGCAGCCCCTCGCACGTGAAGGAGAGCGGGGGCTGAGTTGTCAGTGAGGGTGGATACGATCTGCACGGAGAGCCGAGGCTGGGGCTGGTTGGTTTGTGGGTACTGCGTGGTGCTCTCCTGGGGCGAGAGCATTGCCTTCTTCCTCTCCTCTTCATCACCTCCATCCTTGCATCCCTTAGCCAGTCTTGCATCCCTCTACATCTGTAACTGCTTTACATTTCTCCAAGCTGAGCAGCAAAACTGAATTGAGCAGTTCAAGTTTCTGGTTCTTTTATCCAAATGATAAGGCTCTCTTGGAATAGTTGAGGTTCTTGAGCAAAACCAGTGATTTCCCGGGTTTCCCACTGAGTTTTACCCAAGGCAAATGATAAAATTGGTAGCTGGAATGTCTTTCTGTTTAACCACTGCTGGTTCAGCTCTGCTAACGTGCTCCTTCATCCTTTTGTAGTTGGAAATCCAAGGCAAGCTCTACTTGGCTCCACTGACCACGGTAGGTAGATGATTCTCTCCTTATGTCAAAATTTGCTGCCACGTTTGGAACAGAGCAGATCTCCTGACAAACCGTCGCTCCGCTCTCTCTTTCAGTGCGGTAACCTCCCTTTCCGAAGGATATGCAAGCGCTTCGGGGCCGACGTCACCTGCGGAGAGATGGCTGTGTGCACAAACCTGCTGCAGGGCCAGTCCTCCGAGTGGGCTCTCCTCAAACGGCATCATACCGAAGATATTTTTGGGGTGCAGGTGAGTGCTATCAGCTTGATAACCAAAGAAACGATAACTCAATTCTGAGAAGAAAAGCTGCTTCTTGAACTCCTGCGACCTGTCCCCCTTTGGTAGCTGGAGGGAGCGTTTCCAGACACGATGACCAAATGTGCAGAGCTCCTGAACCAGACAATTGAAGTGGACTTTGTAGACATCAATGTTGGGTGTCCCATTGACCTGGTCTACAAGAAGGTAAGAAGGCGTTCTGCAGCATGTTTTGCTTCCTTCTTGTCTCTTGCCTCATCCCCCACTACTGGATCTGCTCCTGCCAGTCTGATCCAGAGCTCCCAGTTCAGTTATGGGCACTAGGCTTCAGCGAGAAGGCAAATAAGCTGTTCAAAGAGCAGGGAATGGTTAGCTGGCTCTGCCTGGCAGCAGGCAGAACTTGGGAGGGAAAAGGGCTGTGGGGTTGTTTTTGTTGTTGAAGAGTCCCCTTTCTCCAGGTCTTGGGTTGCTCCAAGTCTTACCTGGATTCCCCGAGGAGAGGGCTGCTGCTGAGCAGCTCCAAGGAGGCTCTTCACTATGCAAGGAGGCAGAAACTCTTGACTGTGCCACTTTTTGTCCCCCAGGGAGGAGGCTGTGCTCTGATGACTCGGTCCAACAAGTTTGAACAGATTGTCCGAGGGATGAACTCGGTGAGTCGGAGCATCTGCCAGCAGCAGGGGATAAGCTGAGGGAGCCAACTCCTGCCTCAGCCTGGTCTCACTCTCCCATTTCTGCAGGTGCTGGACGTCCCACTGACTGTGAAGATACGGACAGGGGTGCAAGAAAAGATTAACGTGGCTCATAAAATAATCCCCAAGATCCGGGAGTGGGGAGCATCCATGGTCACGGTACAGGGATTCTTGCTGTGGTGTGAGATTGGTGGCTGGGGAGCTCTGCTTGCCTGTCAGCCTAGAGCACGATGTGGGGGTGGCCTTACCCTTCCCCACAGCTGAGCAGCTCTTTGAAACCCCTTTGCTCAGCTGCGTCCTACCTTTTAGTGTTTTCTGCTAACAACGGAGAAAAATTCAGACGCAGAGAGCATTTTCCTAGGCGCTCCTGAGCCTCGTCTCCACTACAAAGGGAGATGGTTCCTGCAGTGCTCTAGAACAGAGCTTTCAGCCAAATAAGCCTCGTTACAGCAGGGCTGGGGAAGCGATGGGACCATCTCGTTTGCATGGGGATGAGTAGTTCCTGCCCACAGTGAATATTCCCTTTCACTCTGAACAGTCGCTTCTTGCGCTGGCTTGCAAATAGCCAAAACATTTCCTCAGAAAGCATCCAGCCCTTTCTCAGCTGACCGCTTTCTGCTAGCAACTGCCTGGGCTGTAGATCCAGAGTCCCTTACCCCAGCCTGGTGTCATTGCTGCCTTCTCTGGGACATTTCGGTGAGGTCTCACTGTGACTTTCTTCCCCAGCTTCACGGCCGATCCAGGGAACAGCGCTACACGAGGAGCGCTGACTGGGACTACATAGCAGAATGTGCCAAAATAGCAAGCCCCATGCCTCTTTTTGGTAGGTGTTTCTGTTGGGTTGTCATCTGGACTGAAAGTCCTGCATGTTTGATTTGAAATACCTTTTAAAAAAAACAGGCTCCCAAGGACATTTAGCCTGGGGAAGAGGTCGGGGTATCCCTACAGCTTGCTGCTGGCACGATGGCGTGAGTTACCAGCAGCTCTTGTGCAGCCCAGAGCTGCCCGCGTGCTTGGGGCCAGGCTTGATGAGCGCTGAGAGAGTAGAAAGGGAAGGGACAGGCGGGACAGAAAGCACTTGGGTTTTAGCAGGTGCTTTCTGCCTTGGGAACTGTGGCGCAGACAGTCTGAGCTAAACCTTCAGGGTCAGAGTTGGGAGTGGAGAAGAAGAGAGGAGAAGGCTCTTCTTGCCCTTGGAAGGGGAATATTAATCAGGAACATCCCTGGGAGTCTCTGAACAGGAGCCCCAGAGCCTCTTTGGACAATCTGGCTCCTTGGACCTTGTATGCATTTTGAATTTTATCCCATGCCTGGATTAACTCATTTTGACTTGCCCTTGTCTGTCACTTTGACCTCTGGCTTCTCCCTTCCTTCTGGGCAGGAAACGGTGACATTTTGTCTTACGAAGACGCTAATCGAGCCATGCAGTCGGGTGTTTCGGGAATCATGATTGCAAGGCAAGTGCCTGTGTTTCCCCTTTGTTTATGAGCTCGGTTGGTGCAAGACTGAAAAAAAAGGAATTAAAAAAAAAAAAAATACCTAAACAAAGCCAAAACATGGGACGTTTCCTCTTGGTGAAACTACTCTTTGAAACGTGGTAAAATCAGTTTGCATCTGTGGGAACTTACAGCAGCTTCCTGTTGAAACTGGAAAAAAAGAAAATTAAAGCGGCTTTGGCTGGCAATTAAGTGCTGAAAAGTCTCTTAAATTAGTTGGCCTATCAGTTGTGGGAATAACAACGCACCTTTATTTTGGCTACAGAGGGGCACTCATCAAACCGTGGCTTTTCACTGAAATTAAGGAGCAGAGACACTGGGATATCTCCTCCGGCGAGAGGTTTGGGATCCTCAGAGACTTCACCAACTACGGCCTCGAGCACTGGGGGTCAGATACGCAGGGGGTGGAGAAGACCAGGAAGTTCCTGCTGGAATGGCTCTCGTTCCTGTGCAGGTAACTCTCCCCGGCCGAGGGGATCGGTCAGCAGCAAGCCTGGACCGTTTGAGCAATAGCACGCAGTGCCGTCCCGTGTCATTGCAGGCTGTCCCGTGTCGTTGCAGGTATATTCCAGTTGGCCTGTTAGAACACCTACCTCAGAAAATCAACGAGCGGCCGCCTTACTACATGGGGAGAGACTACCTGGAGACGCTGATGGCGAGCCAAAACGTGGACGATTGGATTAAAATAAGGTAATGAAGCATCAGATTTTGTTTAAATTGCAAGGAAGGGACATCGCAGAGCTCCACAACGTTGCTGTGCCTGTGTACATCCTCCAAAGAGGGGGTGATGGCTCTTCCCCATCGGTTTAAGAGGTTGTAAGAAGGGTTAACCAGTGCTTTACTTCAAGGTTTTAACTGAGCTTGATGTTGCCATAAAGAGCTCTCTCAATCCCTGGGTCTGCTTCAGCAGGTCATCCGGTACTTGCTGCAAAGCGAGACTAGCTGACCTCTCCCATGACACGCTGGTCATCCCCGGACAGACATAGGAACCCACAGAGGAGAGCACAACGATGGGACCTCTCCGGCTTTCAGTGTCAGATCCCCCCCGTGCTCTGCCCAGACGGTCCCACCCTGCCAGACCCATACAGCCGCCAAGGAGGAGGGCAGTCCCCATCCCCAAGTTGGGGGGAAGCTGAGCATTTTCCGCATTTTTCATGATCTGATTTCTGAGTTCATGCAACAAAGTGCAGGAAACTATTTCCCCCCCATCTCCGAGTCCTCAGGCACTGGCTGGAAATGACTTTGCAAGCTCAAAGGCAGCTAAAGAGAGAGCTGGAGCAGCCAGCTGCTATTTCCCATCTCATGGAAATGGAGATTAGCAAAAATAGAGCATGGCTACAGCCTCCTCTGGCTTTGCTAATCCTCATCTGCTTTGCCAGTGCTGTGAGCAGCTGCCTCGAAGCATGTTGCAAGTTTTGATCAGAATTTTTAAATGCCCTTTTTCAAGTGGGACCTGCCCGCATGGGGCTGCGCAGAGCTTTGTAACCTGTGGGCTTTACCGTGCTGTGTAACAGAGGTTTATAGCCGTAGGGGCTCAAAATTTTAAAGCAATTTAGGTTTATTCATGAAGGCTCATTTTAAGGAGACTCTAACCAGAAGCGGGGTTCTCGGAGCACGCTCCATTTCTGCTTTTGTGCTGTAGAGTCAGGCTCTTGCTATGCAACTCTGTGCCCTGCTGGGATTCTCTCTCCGACATGTCTTCGGAAAGTTTTAGCGATGCTGTATTGAACCAGCATCCAGGAAATAAACTATAAAGAAAATTACTCTGCCCTGAAAATAGGACGTGTGTTCCAAAGTGTGAAATAGTTGGAGTCTTAAGCTAGGATAAATCTGATCGCAGTAGAACTGGCTTACATCATTTTAGGATCTGACCTTAATGCTTTTTGGCACTAACAGGGTTTTGGCTCTGCACAAGCACAGCAAGAGGTGGGGAGGAGCTTTTCAGAGGCTCGTGTTGATTTTCGGCACGTCATTGCCAGCCCTGAGGCTGGTATTCAGGTCACCAAACTTAGGAACCCATGTTGGCATCGCCTCTGGGTGACTCCCCAGGGAGAAGGGCATTGCCCTGTGCTGGAGGCTGCGTCCCTCCAGTACTGGGGGTCAGGGTTAAAGCTCGGCCCCAGAGGGGGTTTTGTGCAGCAGCCCTAAATTTTCGGGAGGGTAAAGGCTTGGTTTGATGCATCTGACTGCCGTCACCGTCACTGCAGAGCCGCGGGGCCATGCAGCAGCCGAGTACCCGTGGTTCTGTTGGACTGAACCCAAACCTCTCCTTGGTTTTTAGTTTGGTTTTGTTCTGTTCTTCCTTCCAGTGAGCTGCTTCTGGGACCCGTACCTCCCAGCTTCACCTTCCTGCCTAAACACAAGGCAAACTCCTACAGATAGGGCTGCCGAAGCCCTTTCCCGTGGCATCGAGTCAAGGGGAGGCGTTGGACGGTCGAGGAGCGGGCTTTTTCAGCTGCACTCCAAAATGAAATAAAAGTTTTATGTTTTTAGAAGCGTGGTTGCCTTCACGCCCCCAGCCTTGGTCCTTGCCACGAGTCGTGCAGCAGATGGCCTTGCACAATCTTGCAGCCAGAGGTGCCTTGCTAGCAGGGAGCAATCTGTTTAATTAACAGGATACAGGCCAGGAGCGATCTTTGGCCTCCAGTTCACAGCAGGAGTTGTCCCGGCTCCCCCGGGCCCCGCACTGGTCACGTGGGGGGAGCGAGAAGCCTCTGTTCCTACCAGGATGTCCTTGGTAGTGCCAAATCCTCCCAGTACGAGGAGGGGATGTACTAACCCAGTCCCTGGGGTACTGTAGAGCACAAACAGCCCCAGCAGCTCATCATCGGATGTTGTGCAGAATCCGGTCCTTTTCTGGGGAGCACACAGCAGCGGGTACCGGCTCCTCCCGGGGGTGTCACGTACCCAGGGAAAGCGCGGCTTCCTCCGAGGGGGATCCAGAGCTGCTTCTTTCCTGATCAGGAGGGAAAAAAAAAAAATAAAAAAATACCCTGACAGTGGTATTTG